TTTTTTTTTTTTTTTTTTTTTTTAATTTGATTTGTCGGTAGGTAATGGTTTGGAGGTTTGGCCCTTTTGATCTAAAAAAGGAACTTACCAAAGACAGCTGAATGACAGTATAAGTCAGGGGTGGGCAAAATACAGCCTTTTGGCCGAATCCGGCCCACCAGGCATTTTCATCTGGCCCGTGGTGCCCACCAACAAATTATACCCCACCTAGCCCTTCCGCCCATGAGGGTGGGAGCGAGGCGCCTGCGTATACACATGCCCCCAACATACCTTATTGAATCTCGCTCCCATTCTTGTGGGTGGAAGGGCCCAGCCTGGTCAGCATGCAGCTTTTGGGCAGGGCTGCTACTGTCACTGCTGCTGCCGGTGCTGGCCTGCTTGGCTTCCCTGGAGTCCCACTCACTCTGGGCAGCAGGTAGGGAAGTGGTGGGGGAGAAGGAGCTTCAGCTGGGTAGGAGTGCAGAGCGTGGGGCTGGGGCTGGTGGCACATGCAGCCTGTGCCCAGGGGGGTGGCAGCAGCGCGGAGTTTGGGTGGGCAGCATGTGATTGTGAGGGAGGATGGGGAGTGTCCTCCACTTCTTCCATGGTGCACAGCTCTGGTAGGCAGCGGTGGCAGCAGCAGCAGGTGGGGGCACTTGGGGTGCTCATGCCTAGCGAAGGTGCTGCCGTTCCACCCAATTCAGCCCACATTTAATTAATGGCTGTGTGATCCAGCTGTTTCTCTAGGTCCAGCTGTCCTTGCTCCTGTGCATGCTGTGCTCTCACCCTTTGCCCCCCTCTGTTGCAGCTTCTGTTCATTGCCATCACTGAATTAGGCATTTCAAATCCTTGCTTGACATGTTTGTTGGTAGCAACAGCGAGCAGAGGCTTCAGTGAGAGGGCTGAGAAAGCAGCCCTCCCCACAGAGCATGGTTGGCTGGAACAGCAGCTTGAAATTGGCAACCCATGGCAACAACCAGGTTGCAAGGTTTAGTATAATGTTGCTGATCTTGGAGCTAGGTCATAAGCAAAGAACTTTAGAGTTTAAGGGTGCTGCTGCTTGCCTTCATGAATAGAAAGTGGGCTTTAAGAGTAAAAATGACTGAAATGAGAGGAGCCAGAATTTCGCTCCAAGGGTAGTAATCCATTGCAATGTGTATTTTTAGAGGGCAAGAATTCCAGATATGTATTTTTCATTTTCTGTGTTAAAAGTAATTTGGGTTTAATCTTGATCAAGAAGAAATCACTCATAATCCCCAAATCAATTTAGAATGCAAACTTGATATCCCAAGATCTTTTGAGAGCTTTGATCTTGTATTGCATTAAATACACACACTTTAATTACAAAGTTTAAAGTTTTAGTGACTGAGGAGTAGGCTACAGATTGTATCTGGCTCTTCTGGAATTTTTTGAAGAAAAATTCTCCCTATCACTGTTCATCTGTTTTGACCTTGTGTTTCAAGAAAAATGATGACTATAGCTGTAATAATGAGGTGAGGTGAGCACACTAGCAGGGAGTGAGAGATTGCAGAAGGATCTGGATAGGTTACAGGGGTGGGCTAACAGGAACAGGATGCGTTTCAATACAGACAAGTGCAGGGTGCTGCACTTGGGCAGTAGGAACCAGCAGCACACTTAGACAATGGGGAACTCCCTACTCGAGAGCACGGAGGCAGAAAGAGATCTTGGAGTCATTATTGACTCCAAGATGAACATGGGCCGACAATGCGAGGTCATGGTTGGCAGGGCTAACCGGACCTTATCGTGCATCCACAGGTGCATCTCGAGTAGAGCCAAGGAGGTGATCCTCCCCCTCTATGCGACGCTGGTCAGGCCACAGCTGGAGTATTGTGTCCAGTTCTGTGCGCCCCATTTCAAGAGGGATGTGGACAACATGGAGAGGGTCCAGAGGAGGGCCACCCGCATGATCCGGGGACAACAGGGCAGACCCTACAGTGAGAGACTGCGGGACCTGAACCTATTCAGCCTCCACAAGAGAAGGCTGAGGGGGGACCTGGTGACCGTCTATAAACTCACTAGGGGGGACCAGAAGGGTTTGGGGGAGACGCTGTTTCCCCTAGCGCCCGCTGGCATAACAAGGAGTAATGGGCACAAGTTGATGGAGAGGAGGTATAGATTGGACATCCGCAAAAACTACTTCACAGTTAGGGCGGCTAGGAGCTGGAACCAACTTCCAAGGGAAGTGGTGCTGGCCCCTACCCTGGGGGTCTTTAAGAAGAGGCTGGATGCCTACCTGGCTGGACTCATTTGAGTCCCGTTTTTTGTTTTGGGGTTTTGTTATACTCCCGCCCTGGCGGGGGGTCGGGCTAGAAGATCTACTAGGTCCCTTCCAACCCTAAATCTATGAAATCTATGAATGCATTAGTAGGATGCAATGAATCTCATGGCCTACCTTAGGTACAACTTTCCACTACACAGTCTGGCAAACTAAAGCCTGCTTTAAGGTAGTCAGCAGCTACTTCTTTTGAAAAATCTAAATATTATAGTTTTGTTGAAGGAGAAAAATCTTTGCAGGCATAACTTTACATATTTACTTTAAATATATCAAATGGTATCTATCGAGTATTCTTGTGAATGTGTGTGTTTAATGGTAAATAATATTTTAACAGGGGATGCCACAGAGGAAGAAATTAAGTCTTCATTTCTTGAAACGCTGCAGGATGCCTGTAGTAATCCAAATGAAGTGTCATATTGTGAATTTGAAGATTACTATGAAGGACTAAGTATCGGAATTATGGATGATGAAGATTTTGTTAATACCTTAAGGAATCCTTGGGGAATTTAGCACTTACGACATAAAATATCAAGGGAGAAACCTATCAAACAAGGAGTAAATTAAACAAGGATTTAGTCTTGATAAGTGTTGCTTTTTAATGAATTTCTTACAAATTTGTTCTAAAATGAGTACAATTTGAGAGTGATAACATGGTAAGTTATATATACAGCTCCCTTTGAACTATGTTAAGCATTATTTCAGTATTTTTTTGTGTGTTTTGCTGATCTTTGTCAGAAAAGTTAGTAGCCCTGTGCACTTCCATCCTAGTGTCAATATTAAAATAATAAGCTAAAATAATAACATGGATGAAATACATGCAGATGAAAACATACTGTGCATTATAATTTCTAATTGTATGGTGTACTGTCAGAAAACTTTATATTTGAATAGTGTATGTATATGGTCACTGGGTTCTCTCTAAGGTTTGTTACTCATGAAAAAGCGGGCTGTTTTCGATTCGGACTTGGCCCCATTCGGATCACTGTCCCAATTCGATTCGCTGATTTAGATCACTGTCTCGATTCAATTCGGCCGAATCTGAATCTGAAGATTTGCTTCTGATTTGGAGAATCAGCGATTCGGCCATAGGCACAGGTTTAAATGTTTTTTCTACATACCTCGAGGTACCAGGCATGGCTTGTGAATGTTGAGATGGTGGGGTGGATGGAGCATCCCACAGGAACGTGGGGGGGCCCCCCACGTGCACAGTGACAGACCAGGAAGTGGACTGGAAGTACCCCCTGGCTTGGTGATTGGCTGTGGGGGAACCCCAGGTGCCCCCCCAGGCCCAGGAGACTCCAGTCACTGAGACGGGGAGAGGGGTCCCCCAAGCACTCCAGTCCACTTCTGGGTCTGCCGCTGAGCGTGCTAGGGATCCCTTCATGCTTCCGTGGGACGCTCCATCCACCCCACCATCTCAGTGTTCACGAGCCGCCTGGTACCATGAGGTAAGTAGAAGAATCATATAAAGCTGTGTCTATGGCCAAATTGTTGAATCTCTCTGAATCAAATTGGAGGCTTCCGATTTAATTTTGGGGAGATTAATGGTTCTCCTGGTTCAATTCAGATTCGGAGATTTGGCTGCCGAATTGGACTGAATCTTCTCTGAATCAAATCAGCAGCCAAAGCTTCACAGCCCTAGTTGCTTCCCCCTCTCCCCTAAAACACTAAAAATGCATAGAAAATTAAGAACAGTGTATACACTTTAGTACTCCAATTTTCAAAATAATGAACGACCAGGGGTGACCTGACCATATTTATTCATTTTTGTCAGACGCACGGAATTGAACATTGATTCCGCATGTTTCACTGATATACCTTGCTCAGGTTGTAGATTTACTGTGTATATTTGCTGTCAAGTAGCAATGCACTTAAGACCTTACTCTTTTTGCCGAATTGTTTTTTCAAACAAATAATAAGAGTTTTAAATGTATGACCTGTTTTCATTTTGCTGTTATAGTTTGTGTGGGGTTTTTTTAGGTTGAACTTTTATAATAAAGTTCTTTGTCCAAGCTGATAGGTACATTTTACTACTTTTGGAAATAGGAAACAAAGACTTCTGAACAGTACCAAGTACAATTACAGAAAATAATTTTTAAGTGCATGTCCTAGTCATATTTTCCTTGATACTTTGAATGTTTAACCAGTTGTGCCTTTTAATAAAGTCTATTTTTTTTAAACCCAAACAGTTAATTGTATTAAGAAGTAGAAAATGCCGTATCACCTAATTTTTTTTAATTGTGTTTCATCATAGTTTTTGGTGATCGGTATATTCAATGTAGGGGCTAATTGGAAATCAAACTATTGTTGAGCTATGTGCTATTAAAACAGAATAGTTTACTTGGTGTTTGTGTGAGTGCATTTGAATTTATGACCTGCCTTGCCTTCTGAAGATAGCATACGTTTCTTTTCTCAGACAAAACTTCTGTCTTGCAGGAATTTGAAAGCAACAGTGAAACCTGCTTGACTTCCACCACTTTGTCAGGCTGATTTGTTCTGCCTGTATTAACTTTATTTTACTTTGTTTCTGCTTCATGCCCACTTGTCTTCTGTCAGTTGCCTAATAGACCTTACTCATTTTAAAATTTTTCATAGTGTTTTTTACTATTTACATGTGTTTAGCTTTTTTCTCTTTCTGATTTTTAGTGTTCTTTTACTGATTCATTTATTTTAACTTCCTGCTGTTTAACCATAACTTACACAGGTTATGTCAGTAGTGCCTGACCTTTTTTCCCAGCAGGCCAGACAGCTGTTCCTGATCCAGGTCCCAGGTGGGCACAGTGGGCACCATCTCGCCATGCGGAGGGTGCTGGAGGGAAGGTTGGCCCCAGCCAGGCCCTGTAGGGAGGGGAAGGGGTATGGCCAGGCCCCAGCCCAGCCCCATGGGGGGAAGGCAGCATGCTCAGCCCCAGTGGGAGGAAAGGGGACATGGCCAGGTTCCATCCTAGCCCCACAGGAGGGAAAGGGATATAGCCTGGCCCCATGGGAGAAAAGGTGGCATGGCCAGGGCCCAATCCAGAAGTGGGAGGGGGTGTGGCCCAGCCCCATGGGGAAGGGGGTGTAGTTTGGCTCTGACCAGCCATACCGGTATTGAGGTTTGAAAATTTGGCCACTATTAATGGCCACTGCTACTCTGCCACCAAATTTCTGGACTTGTGGGGAGCTCTGCAAGCTGGATGCGATGGCTCCGCAGGCTGTATTTGGCCAGCCAGTTGGAGGTTGAACACCCCCAAGTTATATTGATCTCTAATGAATCATATTTAGTTCTATGTGACTTTCTTTATCGCCGCAAGATAATTTGTCGATCATTCTGATTTCATCCTTAAAATCTCCAAATAACAGATTATCTCTGTACTTTTAGGCTAAAATAAGAATATACCCATGTCTAAAATAAGAAAACTCCCATAAGCACTTGTTCTGGTAACAGAATGTGGCTGGGTTTGATTAAAATATATACCATCTTCCTGTCACAGCTGGAATCTCTCTTTTGAAGAGATTTTTTTGTAGACATCACCTAGCATGAAATAGGTGATGCTGGGGAGCGGTGATGAATCTTGACGCAACTTCTTATTTCACAGAGAAGTGTTTTGTTACATGGCTATAAAACGTAGTGCTGGAGAAGATGTCAGTTGTTGTCCCGTCCCTCCCACCCCCCAACTCCAAAGATGGGAGGTTGATAGCTGTCGTTTCTTTGAAGGAAATGATAAATTCTGGTGGTAGTTGGTAATTCCCTGTTGAGGATGATGAAGGCATTTAGCTGCTGACCTGATGAAGCATGATGAAGCTCATCTGGCACTGTGACTCCTAATCTAAGGCTGATCAACCACTGATCATACTGCCTGGTGTGATGTTGAATAGGTCACGGTTCTGAGAGTAACGGTGAAGGAGTTGGTGCTCATGTGGTGTTTTCTTTACCCTGAGTGGGTACATACAGATCCTTGAGATGAATGTAAGTAGATGGTATCAGAAGGCTTCCTTGACCATGGGAAAATAACTGTTCCAAGGCAATGTGTTGAGCAGACCTGGGGTCCATCTAACAAAGAATGGAAAGAGCAACTTTGATCATAGACTTGCTTAACCCACTGAGAAGAACTTCAAACTAGATTCAAGAGGGCCAGTAAAATAAGCCCGTAAGTAAGTATAACTCTGGACAAAGTCCTAAAATCTATGGAGCACTGGGGAAATTTATTAATTAAGTCATGGGAGTATATGAAGGAAACTACATGTCAGTTATGTAGTAATGAAGGTTTGGTGAATAAAGAGGAGGAAATGGAAGTATCAGTACATAACTAGATTCTGACAAAATTAGCACGACATGTAATGGGTTAATTTACAATTGGCATATTGGTATGGAAGAAGATACGGCTTGTTCAAGAAAGAGGCAGGGGGAAAAAGAATGGGATCATAACTTGTTCGATGTATTTTCTCTGAGGTCTAGAATGTAGTCAGAGACAAACCTGTTGAAAGTCCTTGGGGGAAATACGACATGAGAAAACATGGCTGATGGTTGTGGTTGGTGTCTAGACAGGCAATCTAGGATTATTAGGCAAATGATGGGGAGTAGCAGAATAAAGACTGCCAATTTGTAAAAAATAAAGGCATGGGTTCAAACTATTCCAATATGAAAGAAAAAGAGGGAGTGGCATAAGAAACTAACTTGAGCTTTTTAATGACTTGAAACTTAAAAAGGAAGACAAAAATGGAAAATAGGCCAAGTTATTAAGAATGCAAGAATGTCTAAATGCATGAGCATTTAGAGACAAAATCAAAAATGCCAAGGCATGAAATGAAATGGAACTAGCAAGGAACATAAAAAGTAACAAGAACACATTCCATCTCTGCTTTAGTAAGATAATGACCAAGGAAAAGTTGGCTTACTACTCAACAAAGAGGGAAAGCTAATGGTAGATAGTGTGATGATGATCAAAACATTTAATGTATATTTGACTTCAGTCTTCACTAAAAAGGTTAACCGTGATCACATAGCTAACACAATTAGCATCAGTAGCAAGAAGGTAAAAGCTCAGGCTAAAATAAGGAAAGATCAGGTTAGAAACTTATGTATTTACTTGATTCCAGGATAAAAGTTTTTCCCCCATTTAATATGGGGAGAAGTCCCTCATCTTGGAATTAAATATGAGGTGCCAGGGGGACAGGCAGCTG